ACCTTGCATGAAACACTGAAATAATCATTAGAACATTGTTTTTCTGTGTTCCACACTTTTCAGAAACAACAAAATAGGAACATTTCCCTTTAATAAACATCTAATTCCCTTGGAATGTTTTTTTTCCATGCCCAGCTGGATCAATGCTGGCTTACCTTTTACCAAAATAATATAAAGTATATCATAACATAATTTTCTTTGGCTTGTTCTTAGATCACATAAAGTGATTTTTTTTAATTCTTGAACGGTTATAAGCGGTCTGTTTTTCCTGTGGGCTGCAACACAGGTGCTGGAGCTGGACGCAAAGAGAAGGATTGAGGTCATATTGTCACTCCATTCACTCATGTCAGAATGTCACCTTTGACCCTAGTCTTTCCATCCAACCACACATGCAATATCACTGAAATAGCCTGCTTTCCCCTATGTATTATTGCCCGTCTTCGCCCTGTTCTATCCTTCAAGGCTGCAGAAACACTCATCCAGAATTGACTATTGTAATAGTCTACTTACTACATGGTCTCCTTCCTACACACCTACAGGAACTTCACTATGTTCAAAACTCAGCTGCCAGGCTTCTTTCACGCACCTGTAGTAGGGAATGCATTCAGCAGTGTATTCAGTTACCTTACGAAGCTCTTAATAGCCTTGCCCAATCATATCTCTCTGACCTTCTTTGTCATTGCCACCCTTCTCATATCCTCTTCCTCCAACCTGCTCTCTCAGGTAGCCACATCAGAGCACCACACCATCGGATAAGGAGCTTTTTCCGTTGCTGCCTCCACCTTATGGAACTCTCTCCCTTTAACACATCCTTGCTGCGGACTCATGGCAAAAATTCCAAAAAGTTCTAAAAACTCTCCGATTCAACCAAGCATTCAAATCACATTGACCTATTCTCATTTCGTTCCTTTGACTTGTCTGTTGTCTGTCTCTTAGTTGTACAGCATAGTTGTGAAAGCACTTTATAAAACTTATGTATGTATGTATTATTATTATTATTAGTAGTAGGAGCTTTAAAATGCAGAAAGAAAACATTGAAAAGGGTAAATGAGGTCCAGAGAGAGAACAGCCAGGGTTTTACTACCCAGGCTGCAGGTGCAGAAGCAGTCTTCTGACCCCAGAACCACAGGCACACTCACCCACACAACCAGGCAAGGAAGCAGCAAGGCACACACAACCTGCGCTAACTCCTACAGGAACATGCAAGAGCATGAACAAATGTCTCAAACATGAACTGCATTTGTAAGTTGAGTTTGCACTAGGTCTTCCTGCCACTAAGTTTGTCCAGGGGGAGAACTCTAATTGGATTATACCAATATGTAGCTGGGCTTGTGCACAAACACCTATTCAAGTAAATATTTCTATCAACAGCTCTCTTTAGTTTAGCCTAATTATTGTTTCTGTTATTCCCCAAGCTGGGCATGCACATGCAGGAAGATAAACATTTGGTTTGGAAATAAAGCTAAAGCAGTTCAGGCTAGTGTGGTTTAACTTGCAGCAGCTGAATTAAACATTATATGGGAGGAATGAAAAATGCCATTGACCCTGTGGTTGTGAGAATTCATTGGTGCATATTTTCATGTTTTATGGTTGCTCACAGATCTGTAGAATTATCATTTTTTGCATGTTGTTCCTGTGGAGTGCCACTGTTTCTCTTGGAAGGTACTGGTAACGTTACAGGAGAAGTGCTTAATGACATACACTTGTAGAGCGCCTTTCAGAGAAGGCAGAGGACTCCAAAGTGCTTTACCCTACAGTGAATCATTCAGAATCTTGTGGTGATGAGCTACAGTGTAGCCACAGCTGTCCTGGGTGCATTGACAGAGATGAGGCTGCAGAGCACAGGCCCCACCAGTCCCTCCAACCACCACCAGCGGGTAAGGTGGGTGATCGATCCTATAACCCTGATTACTGGACAACCTGCTCTCCCTCCTGAGCTGCTGCCCAATACCCTCTTAGCTCTTTGAATCCAAGCTATCAGGATGTTTTCATCTACCTGTCAGCTCATGGTTGAAGGTGAACTTGAAATTTTCTGCTTACTTCACTCCCCAGCATTTACAAGTCTGACCACTTCTCACACCTGTTGAGTATTGTATTATTGTTTGGATGCTCCCATTTATAAGATCAGTAATCTGATGTTATTTTATTTCCTCTCAGTCTGCGCCTGCCTTCTTGTTTTTGACGGCAGGCTTCTGTAATGGTATCCTTGTGTGAGTAATGCTGTGCCTTAAGTTATTCTTAAATAAATATGGCCTTCTATGTGTGTACTTATGAAAGAAGGCTTGAATGTATTTAACTGAGCTTGTAAGATTTCTTGGTTTAATGAGCAAAGTGGGATTTGATTTGAGCCAACATACAGTCAGGTCCATAAATATTGGGACATCGACACAATGCTAAAATTTTTGGCTCTATACACCACCACAATGGATATCAAATGAAACGAACAAGTGTGCTTTAACTGCAGACTGTCAGCCTTTATTTGAGGGTAATTACATTTAAATCAGGTGAACGGTGTAGGAATTGCAACAGTTTGCATATGTGCCTCCCACTTGTTAAGTGACCAAAAGTAATGGGACAATTGGCTTCTCGGCTGTTCCATGGCCAGGTGTGTGTTATTCCCTCATAATCCCAATTACAATGAGCAGATAAAAAGTCCACAGTTCATTTCATGTATGCTATTTGCATTTGGAATATGTTGCTGTCAACTGTCATGATGAGATCCAAAGAGCTGTCACTATCAGTGAAGCAAGCCATCATTAGGCTGAAAAAACAAAAGAAACCTATCAGAGAGATAGCAAAAACATTAGGTGTGGCCAAAACAACAGTTTGGAACATTCCCAAAAAGAAGGAACGCACCATTGAGCTCAGCAACACCAAAAGACCTGGAAGACCACAGAAAACAACTGTGGTGGATGACCGAAGAATCCTTTCCCTGGTGAAGAAAACACCCTTCACAACAGTTGGCCAGATCAAGAACACTCTCCAGGAGGTGGGCGTATCCGTGTCAAAGTCAACAATCAAGAGAAGACTCCACCAGTGTGAATACAGAGGGTTCACCACAAGATGTAAACCTTTGGTGAGCCCCAAAAACAGGAAGGCCAGATTAGAGTTTGCGAAACAACATCTAAAGAAGCCTTCACAGTTCTGGAACAACATCCTATGGACAGATGAATGATGGGAAGAGAATATTATGGAGAGGGAAAGTAACCGCTCATGATCCTAAGCATACCACTTCATCAGTGAAGCATGGTGCTGGAAGTGTCATGGTGTGGGCATGTATGGCTGCCAGTGGAACTGGTTCTCTTGTATTTATTGATGATGTGACTGCTGACAAAAGCAGCACGATGAATTCTGAAGTGTTTCGGGCAATATTATCTGCTCATATTCAGTCAAATGCCTCACAACTCATTGGACGGCGCTTCACAGTGCAGATGGACAATGACCCAAAGCATACTGCTAAAGCAACCAAAGAGTTTTTGAAGGGAAAGAAATGGACTGTTTTGCAATAGCCAAGTCAGTCACCTGACCTGAATCCGTTTGAGCATGCATTTCACTTGCTGAAGAAAAAACTGAAGGGAAAACACCCCAGGAACAAGCAGGAACTGAAGACTGTTGCAGTAGAGGCCTGGCAGAGCATCACCAGGGATGAAACCCAACGTCTGGTGATGTCTATGTGTTCCAGACTTCAGGCTGTAATTGACTGTAAAGGATTTGCAACCAAGTAATGAAATGTATAAGTTTGATTTATGGTTCTTATTCTGTCCCATTACTTTTGGTCCCTTAACAAGTGGGAGGCACATATGCAAACTGTTGAAATTCCTACACCGTTCACCTGATTTAAATGTAAATACCCTCAAATAAAAGCTGACAGTCTGCAGTTAAAGCACATCTTGTTCGTTTCATTTGATATCCATTGTGGTGGTGTATAGAGCCAAAAATGTTAGCATTGTGTCTATGTCCCAATATTTATGGACCTGACCATACATTTATAAAGTCACCACCTGTTCTGGTCTCTACATGTTTCATTCCCAGAAGTTATATGGGCAGATGACGTGGTTTGTAAGCCTAAGCATGAGGAATGATTATTTGTTTTCACTGATTACCTTGTAATGTCTGTTACATGGAATTAAGGTGTTCAATGGGGTCCTAAAACACCTTGTTTTTACAATAGAAACCCATTATTTTAGCCTCTATGTAACACCAGCAACTGGCCCAAGAGCCCTGATGAATGGTTGAACACAACCCCATAATGAAGCCCAACCCCCTCACATGACTGCCTGACGCTAGAATCTCCGTATTCAATTGTGCACAACATCCAGATAACCCAACAGGCCTGCTACGTATCTACCTGGCATTCGTAGTCTGGATATTCCTAGTTCATCCTGGATCGGCACGTGTGCTCTGACCTTCTGTGTTTTCCTCTCATCCAACAATAGCTCAGGCTAGCATCACTTAGCAGTTAGCATCACTGCCATTAACCTACATATATAGCTGATGTTGAAGTGGGTTGGGATATGAAGAGGTCAGGGGTGTGTCTAAATGGGCTACAGCTTTGATGATGCGTTGTACCAGCGTTTCTCAGAACAAGACTCCTCTCTGCAGCTATTATAACATCTGTATAGGGAAGCAGGTTGGACACTACTAGTTATGCTACATTGGACACCCCAGGCTGCCTGTATCAAACAACTTAGTAAATGTGGTTCTCACAGATCCTTTTAAAAGCACCACTAATGTATGAAAGGACACTAGTACTTGTGTAAGTGTTAAACAGTTACGTTTACACCGGGCAGTGCAGGTGCAGTGATGTTTTATGTGAAGGTTACTGTAATCATTTAAAAAAACCAACCTTTGTTTGTTTCTGATTAATCAACCCTGACCCAAAACTTCATATCAAACAATGACCTTTGTGTTTCCTAACACAGACTCGCTTAACTCCCTTCAGTTGTAGCGTAGGTGTTTGTGTTTCACTGGTGTTTAATGACTTTCTCTGTTTCTACCAGGTTACGTGCAGAGTCTGATCAGACGTGTGGTGAACAACGTGAACATTGTGGTGAACAACCTGATCCTTAAGTACGTTGAAGATGACATTGTGCTTTCAGTCAACATCACCTCAGCAGAATGCTACACGGTGGACGATATGTGGGAGAGGGCTTTCATGGACATCAGTGGTGAGCATGACTTAGTCACATTCCTTTGATTTTGGTACACATGTTGAAATATGGTGATGAACATTTGCTCATAACATCGTGTTTGTTCAAAATAACATGAAGCTGACTAGTCTATAAGTATTGTAATGGCCAAACCAACACTTCCAGGCGTGATGCGTGAATGAAAACCAAAAACAAGATGATTTAATAGAATACTAGTAAGGGTAATCTTCGAATGGGCCGCCACCTGTCATGTTGCCAGGGTTGGCGTGTGCTCTGATCAGTTCTGTTACAGTAATGTTGTACCCAAGGGCCACTCTCCTGTGCGCTTTAGCGCATCTCATTTAAATGAGTGGGCCATTCTATCACATGTTAGTTGGGTTTTGAAGCAGGGAACCAACTTGAACTGAGGAACCTAACCACAGAGGTTTAACATGTTAAAGAGCAAAGAGATTTACTTTCACTGGGTCACAAAAGGCTGTAAGAACAGTTACTGTTGCTGTTCAGTGCCTGAGATACTGATGGGGTTCCTTCGGTTCTTAAAGCCAACGCACACACTAAGCTGAGATTCAGGATCAACACAGGTTGTTACATAGGTCTGAATGTTTATGTCAATCAATCAGACTTTATTTATCAAGAGCTTTTCAAGCAAAGTGCGACTCAAAGTACTTTACAGAATTAAAATGACCTCAAGTTCCCTTAACAGTTTAACAAACATATGCGCGCACTTGCGTGCATGTGCCCGCTCGCGCACGCACGCGCGCGCACACACACACACACACACACACACACACACACACACACAAACACGCGCATACACGCGCACACACACTCATCAGGAAAAACGTACAGGTGCTGGCCAGTAAATTAGAATATCATCAAAAGGTTGAAAATATTTCAGTAATTCCATTCAAAACGTGAAACTTGTACATTATATTCATGCAATGCACACAGACCAATGTATTTCCAATGTTCATTACATTTAAATTTGATATTCATAAGTGACAACTAATGAAAACTCCAAATTTGGTATCTCAAAAAATTAGAATATTCTCAAAAGGCTGAATATAGAAGACACCTGCTGCCACTCTAATCAGCTGATTTACTCAAAACACCTGCAAAGGCCTTTAAAAGGTCCCTCAGTCTTGTTTTGAAGGCACCACAATCATGGGGAAGACTTCTGACTTAACAGCTGTCCAAAAGACAATCATTGACACCTTGCACAAGGAGGGCAAGACACAAAAGGTGATTGCTAAAGAAGCTGGCTGTTCGCAGAGCTCTGTGTCCAAGCACATTAACAGACAGGCGAAGGGACGGAAAAAATGTGGTAGAAAAAAGTGTACAAGCTCTAGGGATAACCGCACCCTGCAGAGAATTGTGACGACAAACCCATTCAAAAATGTGGGGGAGATCCACAAAGAGTGGACTGCAGCTGGAGTCAGCGCTTCAAGAACCACCACGAGGAGACTCATGAAAGACATGGGATTCAGGTGTCGCATTCCGTGTGTCAAGCCACTCTTGAACATGAAACAGCGCAAGAAGCGTCTCGCCTGGGCCAAGGACAAAAAGGACTGGACTGATGCTGAGTGGTCCAAAGTTATGTTTTCTGATGAAAGCAAGTTCTGCATTTCCTTTGGAAATCAAGGACCCAGAGTCTGGAGGAAGAGCGGAGAAGCACAGAATCCACGTTGCATGAGGTCCAGTGTAAAGTTTCCACCGTCAGTGATGGTGTGGGGTGCCATGTCATCTGCCGGTGTTGGCCCACTCTGTTTCCTGATGTCCAGGGTCAATGCAGCCGTCTACCAGGAAGTTTTAGAGCACTTCATGCTTCCTGCTGCTGACCAACTTTATGGGGATGCAGACTTCACCTTTCAACAGGACTTGGCACCTGCACACAGTGCCAAAACCACCAGCACCTGGTTCAAGGACCATGGTATCCCTGTCCTTGATTGGCCAGCAAACTCGCCTGACCTTAACCCCATAGAAAATCTATGGGGTATTGTGAAGCGGAGGATGCAATACGCTAGACCCAACAATGCAGAGGAGCTGAAGACGACTATCAGAGCAACCTGGGCTCTCATAACACCTGAGCAGTGCCACAGACTGATCGAGTCCATGCCACGCCGCATTACTGCAGTTATTGAGGCAAAAGGAGCCCCGACTAAGTATTGAGTGCTATACATGCACATTCTTTTCATGTTCATTCTTTTCAGTTGGCCAACATTAGAGAAACAAACATTTTTTCATTGGCCTTTAGAATATTCTAATTTTCTGAGATACCAGATTTGATGTTTTCATTGGTTGTCACCTATAAATATCAAAATTAAACGTAATAAACATCGGAAATACATTGGTCTGTGTGCATTGCATGAATATAATGTACAAGTTTCACGTTTTGAATGGAATTACTGAAATATTTTCAACCTTTTGATGATATTCTAATTTACTGGCCAGCACCTGTATATTCGGCTGAGTCCAGATGGGCCAAGCAAGGAAAGTCAAGGAAAAGCCATCAGAGGAGCCGTCTGCCCTGGCAGCTTCAGGTCTTCCACAGTAACTAAGTCAGAGGAGAGGGACCATAGACCTCCACCTCCACTCAAACACTACTTGTAGAGCACCCAGGAAGCAACAGTCGACCACCGCTCCTTGGGCAGAGGGCCCCCACAGAGAAAACACTGGATTACAATGAGTAAAAATATGAAAATAAGAGCTATTATTTATATAAATGACAAACGTAAGAAAATAAATTATAAATAAAATCAAATAGACAGTAAAATTATAATTTAATTAAATAATGAAACTGTACTAAAATATAATCATGTAAAACATGCAAAGCCAGTAAAAATATAATCATGTAAAACGAGAGATAAAAGTAAATAATTAGATAAAAGCTAACCTAAATAAGTGGGTCTTGAGCCTGGACTTAAAAACTTGAATGTTCTCTGCGGCCCTGAGGTCCTCCGGCAGCTCGTTCCAGAGGCGAGGGCCGTAATACTGGAAGGACGCCTCGCCGTGAGTGTGTTTCCCAACTAGGGATGTCCAGGAGACGCCTGCCAGAGGAGTGCAGAGGCCGTGAGTGTTCATATGGTAAAAGCAGTTCTGAGAGATAAGAAGGTCCAAGACCGTTAAGATTAAAAACCATTAGAAGAACCTTAAAATTTATCCTGAAACATACAAGGAGCCAATGCAACGATTCTAAAACCGATGTAATGTGCTCCCACCTCCTGCTCTTCATCAGGGCACGCGCTGCCGAATTTTGTAGAGGTTGTAAACCTGAGATGCTCTTTTTGGGAAGACCAGAAAGCGGGGAATACAGTAGTCTATTCTACTGGTGATAAAAGCATGCATCAGCATCTCCGTATCGGCCTGAGAGAGGATGGGGCGTGTGTCACACTCTGACACACTAATACAGGGGCGGTACCAGCCTGCAAAAATATTGACTGGGTTCAATCAAAGACTCCTTTAGGAGTTTGCCTGTGTGTGTATATTTCACTCATATCAGTGTTTTAATGTTCTAATGATTAATAACCATTGCTTCCAGTGTTTCTTACTGTATACTTGACATGAACTTGATTTATTTGTTCTCATTCTTTTCTTGCAGCTCCAGAACTGGTTCTGAGAAAAGTTATAAACTTCTCAGACTGCACCATGTGTTTGGACAAGAGGAATGCTAGTGGCAAGATTGAGTTTTACCAGGATCCCCTGTTGTACAAGTGCTCCTTCCGAACGCGCCTGCACTTCACGTACGACAGCATCAGCTCAAAGATCCCCTCCGTCATCAAGGTGAGCAGCTCCAACTTTTAGCTCTATCTTGTTTAGTCCTTTTTACATGGGTCAGGGTTGATGGCTGTGGTTTGGCCTCATTAAACTGCAGTCTAGGCTTTGTGTAGTAGAAATCATTTTCTAGATGTTTTTGTCTTGTTTGCTTTTCAGTAGATTTAAAGGGTCAACCCTTGGATCAATGGAAAATGTCTGTATTCCATTCGTAACATCATTTTGTGTCAGTATAAATGGAGAAGGGCTAGAAGGGAGACCATGTAAGGACTTTACATTAACGAGGTTTAAAAGATATAGAAGTTGTGATTATTTAACCTTTTTCATCACAGCAAATAAAACAAAAACATTTCTACAAAAATAGTGGATATCATGGTAAATCAATCCAGTAAAATCTAATTATTGATGATTCAGAGATAAAAAATGCTAATTCAGGTGTTATCATAGGGATACTAGGCACTTTTGCTTGCTTTTAGTGCCCCCTAGTGTTCGTTATTAATTCCCTGTGGTTAAACTGAAAATGAAACTCATCTCCTCACTGTGGCTTTTGACTTTTTAACTCCTTGATCTATCCGCTGAAATGTCTCCTCAGCCTTCATTAGTATGTCTCCTCAGCCTTCATTAGTGTCTACAGGAGTGATTCATCACTGAAAACCAAGTGCAGTATTCTGGCCACAGGGCGGTGGGGTCTGACTGACATTTCATCAACCCTTTTAGGGCAGTTTTAGCACATTCTAGTTCAAGAAAATGATTTAAAAATATATAAAAAGTAGCATCATATCCCTTAATGGTCCAAGGCCAAAGTTTATAGTTAGATGAAATTTCACAGAAAATGACTAAAGAAGACTGTCAACCCTTTATGAATTAAATGACCTGTATTTGCATAGTTCCTTCTTAAACTTCTACAAACCCCCAAGGCACTTCACAACACAATCATTCACTCATTCACATGGTGGTGGTGATGAGCTACAATGTAGCCTCCGCTGCCCTGGGGCACACTGACAGAATAAGCTAGAGCAGGGATTCCCAAAGTGTGGTGCGCGCACCCCGAGGGGTGCGCGAGCTGCCGCTAGGGGGTGCGCGAGGTGAAAAGTGTAATGGCTGCGGAGCTCAGAGAAGTCTGTCATATGTCACCATTAGCGTAGAAACTCATTTGTGGGTGGGCCAAAGAAAAAGTAAGTGGGCACAATAAATGTAATTGAAAACAAGTATATTTTTGTGAGCGTCCTCCACATGTGCCCTAGCTTCATAATAACAATGCGCCGAGCTTCAGCACTCTGGCCTGCACACGCCGATATGTTCCGTCGCGCGCGTGCGTGTCCTCCACATGTGCCCTAACTTCATAATAATAATAATGCGCCGAGCTTCAGCGCTCTGGCCTGCACACGCCGATATGTTCCGTATTTGATCATTTTTAACGGTGTTGGAGGAATCTGAAGGTGGCGAATCACTCTGGCAGATTGTAATTAACACCTGTCTCATGCAGGTGTTCTGACATTGTAAACCTCACACACAGAACATTGTGGATGTAACAAAATAACAAGAAATGATTCCCATTCAGGCTATTGACAGCGCGCTGACGATCTGAAGTTCAGAGTGCTTCTGTCAGAGGTCAGACGTGTTCCGACTGAACCACGGCTCACGGGTGCGCAAGTGAGCACATCTGGGCTGGGCAGAAGTTATTTTACAACATTGATTTAAATAGCGCGAGACGCGGTGACTTGAGCGGCTGTGCCGCGCGCGCACACACACACAGATTCAATAAGCGCACACGCGGTGCGCCGTCAGACTGAAGGCAGAAATGAACGCTGCCTCCACCGTGATAAAAACTTTTAAGAGGGTTATTTTTCATTCAAGGTCAAATTAAGATATTAGCTTCTGGGATGAGTCGGGTCCGCTCCAGCCAGTGACTCCTCATGAACCTAAACATCTCATGTTACTGCAGCATTTGTTGTTCCAGTCCGCATGACAGCGGATCACAGATTCAGCCACACCATAAAACAGCAATAAGTCGGTCTGAGGTAAAAGTGAACATCATGGCTACATCTTTTCCCCTATAGACATTTGATTACGCACAAGTAGGTGATCAGCTCAGGTTTACGCAGAGCAGACGGAAGGAGAGCGCTCTGGCCGCACAGGTTAAACCGTTAAATTGCATTGTTTATGTGCTACCTGGGCACTCTAAATATTTATTTAAAATGAAATCAAAGGAAATTGTAATGGTATCAAATG